AAAGAAGAAGTTACAGGTCTGTGAGAGCCAGAAATCTTGCTTGTTTGTAGGTGACCAAATACTTATTTTCCACCATAATTTGCAAATAAATTCATTAAAAATCCTACAATGTGATTTTCTGGAGAAAAAAAATCTCAATTTGTCTGTCATAGTTGACGTGTACCTATGATGAAGATTACAGGCCTCTCATCTTTTTAAGTGGGAGAACTTGCACAATTGGTGGCTGACTAAATACTTTTTTTCCCCACTGTAGCTAACTGTAAAGTAAAGAGAAAATCATGAGGCATATAGTCTTTGGTTGCATGCTATTTTATGTCAATCATATTGCTGCTATAGCCTGTAACTGATGCTTCGTGGTCTTATGCTGCCATCTATTGGAATTATTTAGCAATTAAAAGTTATTAAGTCACATAAAGACATTGGTAAGACAGCTGAGAAATAAAGTGTATTTTCCTTATTATTTCCTGAGATCCGTCTCAAACCTGCCCCATCTATCCCAACCAATTGCTGGACTTTCATATATAGGTTACTAGGTCACACCCAGTTCAAACCACATTTGAAAAATAAAATGTGGCTTGTTTAAGTGTTCTGCCTTGCAATAATAAAGATAATAAAATAACTAATAACAAAACAGCTAAATGCTTTCGTAGGTTTAGATTTCTTTTAAATAATCAAAATGCTATTTAGTACTATAATGGTATTTACTAACATAATATTATTACAAAAATAGTTTCTAAAAGTGTTCTAGGCTACCTTACCCAATAATTAGGGTTAGGGTTAAGGCTAAAATGGGTTAGGGTTGCCATTAGGGTTAGAAAAATTGTGACCATTACAGCTGTAGGTGCATTGTGTTACAGGTTAGAGTTAGAATTACTGTGACCATTACAGCTGTAGGTGCATTGTGTTACAGGTTAGGGTTAGAATTACTGTGACCATTACAGCTGTAGGTGCATTGTGTTACAGGTTAGAGTTAGAATTACTGTGACCATTACAGCTGTAGGTGCATTGTGTTACCGGTTAGGGTTAGAATTACTGTGACCATTACAGCTGTAGGTGCATTGTGTTACCGGTTAGGGTTAGAATTACTGTGACCATTACAGCTGTAGGTGCATTGTGTTACAGGTTAGGGTTAGAATTACTGTGACCATTACAGCTGTAGGTGCATTGTGTTACCGGTTAGAAGTTGCTCAGTTGGTAGAGCAAGGCGCTTGCAACGCCAGGGTTGTGGGTTCGATTCCCACAGGGGGCCAGTATGAAAAATGTATGCACTCACTAACTGTAAGTCGCTCTGGATAAGAGCGTCTGCTAAATGACTAAAATGTAAATATAAATTACTGTGACCATTACAGCTGTAGGTGCATTGTGTTACAGGTTAGGGTTAGAAAAATGGTGACCATTACAGCTGTAGGTGCATTGTGTTACCAGTCAGGGTTAGGGCTAGAATTACCGTGACAATTAAAGTTATAGGTGCATTGTATTACCGGTTATGGATAGGGTTAGGGTTACCATTACAGCTGTAGGTGCATTGTGTTACCAGTCAGGGTTAGGTTTTATATTCGGTAGGGTTAAAATAAACTGTTTTGTTTTTTAGATGCACAGGCCTATTCCTATTTGCCCCGCCGATGTTTCAATAGAATGTGTTCTTCAAGTGCAGGACCTTTAAAAAGTTGCTAGATGACATCATAGGATCATAAGTACCCTCTGGTGTAATTGTTTTCAAAACTCTTATCCAATTGCATTCTGCTGCCCCTCGCTGTCCCCAGGTCCACCCAGGACCCGCCTGCAGACCCGATACACTGAGATTGGTGATGGGGTGATCTTGAAAGTGATTAACCAGTACTGTCTGTAATTGTGCTCATTTGATGTTGTACAGGTGTTTCAACCGGGTTTCTATTGTATGTTTTCTTTGACCAATATAATGTTTATTGCATAGTGTACAGGTGATAATATAGATAACATTGGAGGTGCTGAGGGAAAGGTTATCTGTGATCAGGGCAGAGGTGTCACTGTGGGGATTGGAAATGAATTTTCTCTGTCTGTAGTGGGTGGTATGGGGTTTGGGGGGTTGTGGTGGTATGTTACTGAACTTTGCCTGGGTGAGTAAATCTTTGAAATTTTTGTTTTTCCTGAATGCTGAAATTACTCTTAAGGTTGAAGGGGTGGGTAAACCTGTTGTGCTATGGAGAAGTTGTGTTTAATTGCTTGATGTAGGGGTCTGACTATGTGAAAATGTTGATACCAAGGGGATGAGTATTTTGTGTTGATGGGATGATGAGGAGAAAGATGAAGGGGATAGGGTCCGGCTGTTGTTTAGAAGGGTGTCAGTGTTCCCGTCTTTGGGGGGGTTGGGGGTGGGAGCAGGATACAAACCCTGTTTGGGGTAAGGGACAGGGTTGGGCAAGGTGATAGGCCAGGGTTGGGTTTGGTTCAGACAGAGGAGAATTGGATGGGTTTGTGTTGTATGCTTGTGTTGGCTGAATGGGAGGGAGAGCCACCAAAGTGCTGTTCTTGATTGTTCTTAAAAACCTATTTGCGTAACCTCGCCCTCTAAGGACATGAAATAAGGTTGAGATGGTATGGTCCAAGTCCTGTTGACGGGATGAGATTCTATTGACTCAAATTAATTGTGATTTCACTATACCTTTTTGAAAGGGTGTTTTGGATGGTAGCTGTGTTTATGGAGTAGAGCATGTGTATCTGTAGGTTTAAAGTATACTTTGGTGAGTAATGTTTTCTGTGTTGCATTGTTTTGGTTGAAGAAGACTGTTGTATCCAAGAAATGTACTTCCATTGGATCTATTGTGTATTTAACTTGATTTGATGGGTGGTGATTTTTGAGAATATTAATGAAATCTGTGAAAAGTGTGATGTCATGGGGCCAAGCTCCTATGATGTCTAAAATAGAAGGTGGGTTGGAACGGGCACTTTGTCAGTACCTCCCTCTCCCATTCAGCCATGTAAATGTTCGCATATGCAGGTCTCTACCCATAGCTGTTCCCTCCACCTGTAAGTAGTGCCTACCATTAAACATGAAGTCATTGCTCGTCAGGCTGATCTCTAATAGTTCAAATATTTCGTTGTCCGGTTTATCCCTATCTGGAAACCTATTGAAAAGTGTTCTAACTGCCTCTATCCCTACCACTGTGTTGATATTGGTGTATAAGATATCTATATCAATGGTGAATATATGTATGTATGTATGTTTGGGAGGGAACAGCTATGGGTTTGATATTTTCTAAGAAGTGATATGTGTCCCTAAGATAATTGGGGTGCTTAGTGGAGAGGGGGTTGAGATAATAGTCAATGTATTCTGAGATGTTGTAGGACTCACTGTTACAGTCAGAAACAATTGGTCTTCTGGGGGGAACCTCAAAGGGAACTATCCAGGTGTCTGGTTCTTTGTGTATTTTCGGGAGTAGGTAAAACAGTCTAGGTCGTGGGGTGTCTGGTCCAAAGAGAGTTCTGTTTAGCAGTGATATAATGTTTTTCATAGAGGGTTTGAATGATTTACCTTAATTGTATTTGTCTGTAGTTGTATACTGTTGCCTTGGTTTATAGTGTTTAGTGTTGGATAATTGTCTGTTTGCTTCATATGTGTATAGGTGTTTATCTAGTATAACTATTTTTGATCCTTTGTCTGCTGGTTTCAGTATAATGTGTGGGTTGTTTTATTGCCTCTCTTTCTATGTGGGTGAGATTGTCTTTTGTGTCTGTCTGGGGTTGGTAATTGTGGAGAGTATTTTAGTCTGTTCTGATTAGCAGCTTAATCGCTTAAACTTTGGTTCCCAGGTGGAATGAAGGGTAAACGGCAAGTAATTGTCATTAGTCTCATAGTCAAAATAGTCTAAAAGTCTCAGTCGTCTGTGGTACTTGTGGGTGTCCCTTCCTCCCAGTGGAATCTGTTGGGGCGGGGAGTAAAATAAAACTCTTTTTCCAGGAGTTGGATCTGTATTGCTGTTGGCTGAGAAGTCTGTGATGAATTCATGATGTTTAATAAACCAGGTGTAGTTCTGCCCTCTGCTGGTGGATTTGAGGTAGTGGTTGTGGCAGCAACACTGAGGGAAGAGGGAAAAAGTTGTGAAAAGATTCTGTTGGTGTGGCTATGATTGTCCAAGCTGTGGATGGACGTAAATGTATTGCTGGCACCAGTTATTGAATATCAGTCTTGCTGTGGTTGTTGTCCAGTGTATCAGATCTGCAGATGTATGGAATGTATCATGCGGTATCTCTACGAGGGTTGGGAATTGTTAGAGTTAGGGTGACTATTACAGCTGCGCACCATTTGCTCAATTCGATGCCTACGAACAAACAGATTTCGACGCATATCAAATTACCCAGCAGCCATTTAGAAACAACAAATAGTCAAAACAAAGGTTCTTTCTTAATTAAAATTTTTATTCTGGCTGTTTTTAAATTGGCCACGTCTTGAAAAAGAGGACCGGGACATGCGTTTTCTTCAGGTTTACACCTTTTTCTGAAAACAAATATGGTTAACCATGACCAGAAAATGTTTGTTTGATGGCTATGCGCCAGCCATCGTTAGCACTGTGGGTCACAACAGCATGTACCAAGGCGAACAGTGAGCTTGCTCACCAAGTAGCCGTAACCTTGTTAATAATAAATTACCTGAGGTAATCCTCCGAGTTGAACATGGGCAGGTCTCATTGCCAACAATAGCGAAGCAGGCATTGTGACGTAGAACAATGGGCTGGGAATAGAACGTTCGGAAGGCGAGTTGGTGCCACGGTGCTCAATAGAACTAATAGGAGCTGGCAGGGTGAAAAATGCCCTAAAATAAGGCCTGTTCTTTTTCGCGATTACGGCAAGCAGCTGGAACATATGGTAATATTATGAAACTGGGCTCCACGGCAGATGCAATGTACTAGTTTTTATCAGAAAAAAACGTTGTTAAAAATGTTTCCTGTAGTGTTGAAGAACAGGCTGAGAAGTCTGAATGACATGATGAAGATCAAGGAGGAGAAGCTGAGAGTGCGCTCCAGGGACACCTACGCTGCCGTCCAGTGGCTGAGGCAGAACAAACACCTCTTCAGTGGCAATGTCTATGAACCCATGATGCTAGTGGTGAGAGCATTCTATATGTCCTGGCCCTGTCCTAATACTTTAAAGTGTCATTGTTGTCGAGCACCCCTCATACTTTGGTTTGTTTGTGTAGCGCGGAGGCCTTTTTTCAATGAAAAGACCACTTGGTTAAAAGACCAAGTAAACAGAATTTGAAAGCCCATAGTAGCATTTTGTTGAATGAAACGTTCTGTTCTATCAGATCAGTGTCCGCAACCCTAACCATGCCAAGTACGTGGAGAACCACATTCCTTTCAACGACCTGCGGGCCTTCGTCTTCCAGAAGAGGGAGGACATGGAGAAGTTCATGACTGAGGTGAGGGGGGGCCTGCAAATAAATAATAGATTCAGAAAAGAAATTAAACTGCCAATACAACAATGCTCTGTCTACAATGATACAAGGCAGGGTTTGTATGGTCATGAAAATCCTGGAAAAGTCATGGAATTTTAAAATGGTGTTTTCCAGGCCTGGAAAAGTTTTGGAAAATGATACAATTCAAAAAGGTTTGGAAAAGTCATGGAAATAAATTAATAAATAATTTCTGTTAATGTAATTTATTTAGGCACAGTTTTTAAATATGTTATCAATCAAATAAAAATCAACATATCAGCCAGGATCGGAATGACACTAACGCGTCTGTGGTTGCGTGCATCACCTGTATGTGTTCGAGACAATTGGGCTGTTGCTCAAGGTAGAGCGGGACAGTCGGACATTGTAGCAGCAGGTACTCCTAGCCTATAAAATATGATAGAAAACAGACTAATAACTAGGTAGCCAATTCAAAACATATATTGTACCCTCTAGTTAACTGTTTAGCTATTATTAGCATGTATTCATGTTTTCGTCATATCCCGGAAAACTTTCACTGACACTCACGAAAAAGGCCATACAAAGTTGATTTACTTTTTTGAACGATTCATATGATTAATATAAATTATTCTTTTTGACAAAACAAACAATTCACTTTGCCATTATATTAGTTGGGATTTGGTTCAATTGTGGTGAATTGAATCGTGAATCAAAATAATTTGTGAATGGCGAATAGTAAATTTAGGAACAGATTTGATGTAGCCTTTTGGATTATGTGGCTTCAAAATTTGTTTTGTAGATACTTCCAGTTCATTTGGGCATCCAATGTATCGGACATTGCAACTCAATAGATGCTAGTCAGCCTGCAAAGTAAACACGACTATAGGCTAAATATAACTAAAATCGAAAAGGTATATTTTCTGAAAATTTGTGGGCTTGCTTCAGCTGAATACACATATTTGTAACCTACGATAGCCATTTGATCTTTGATATATTGAATGAGCAAATTATTTCAAAAGGCATAAAACGTATTTGGTTGTAATGTTGCCATGTTATACATCAAGGGTGGTCAACCATCCTCCAGGAGAGCTAATGGGTGTGCAGGCTTTTATTCCAGTCCCCCTCTAACGAACCACATTTTAGAAATTAGCTGCTCAACCGGACCTTGTTAAACTGGCTCTGTGTTTGAGCAGGGCTTGATCAAAAGCCTTGACACCCAGTAGCACTCTGAGGGTTGACCACATGTTTAAAACAGTTGCTTAACAGGTGTTCTACTTTGGGGGGGGGGGGTTAAGTGCCTTGCACAACGACATGGGATCAGAGAGTAGCCTCCCAGAGCCGATATCACATTACGCATACTTTTTTATACCTACATAGAGATGCTGTCAATTGTTGGTCATGGAAAAGTCATGAAATTCCATCTGTCAAATAAGGCCCTTTTTTTTACTAACCATGTGACCCACCTGACAATGTGACCCATCTGCCCAGGCTCTAGTTATAGGCTCTAGTTCAAGGAACTATATACAGTAAAAAAAGTTATAATGGATTTGTCCTTGGCCTCAGGTACGTGACAGCCAGAACCTGAGGGTGAATTCAGTCTTTGCTCCTGAGGAGTCCTGTGCCACACGCCCCCCTTCCCGACCCATTGAGTCCCTGAAGTGAGTAGTCCTCTCATACTGTCCCAAGATGGATTGTAAATGTATCAAGCCTATACCTAACCGTAATTCTACCCTTCCAGTTTAATGTGTAAGATGCATCTTTATCTTCTCTTCCTGTCTGTAGGCGCTTTGGGTTCTTTGCGTACCTGCGGGAGCTCTTCGATGCTCCAGAAGAGGTTATGAGCTACCTCTGCAACCAGTACAAGGTGCACGATGTTCCCGTGGGAACGGACCAAACCAAAGCCATGATCAAGACGGTACGTTCCATACCCCAGACTAGCTGGTAAGATGGAGAGTCATGAATGTCAACAAATGTCACTTTCATAGCTTATTTGATTTCTGAACAGACTGCAATCTAAGCAGCTCCAAACTAGGGGTGTGACCGTTAAAACAAAGTTGGGATCCTTAATGTTAAGAAAATCCCTAAAAAAAAAAAAAAAATCCCGTGTTATAGACTATTAGACAATAGGCTATAAAGGCCTGGGGATTCATGTTTTCTTTTAAATCCACAACTTGAATCCCTCCACAGCCTCATAGAGGATCTAGATACATTTTCTAACCTCTCTGGATTACAACCAAATTATGATAAATGTACTATATTAGGTATTGGAGTTATGTCGCACATGCAGCTAACAAAAACATATGGAAATGTCTGCTCTACCCAAAATTACAACCAAATAATTGCAGCATTACCACAAAAATGGAAAAGGAAAGTGGAAGGGGGAAAAAGTAAGGAACTTGTCTGTCGGCCCTGCATTAAAGAATATAATTGGTTAAAGAAAATTGTGATAAATAAAAAAAGTATACCAGTTTCATTTAAGGACCAAAGGATTGACAGCCGTCCCATATAGATTGCAAAATAGTTGGGAAGAGATTTTTGACGTACCGATTCCATTGCATAGTGTTTATGAATTGATACGCAAAACGACGCTGGATTCAAAACTTAGAATTTTTCTATTTAAATTATTATATTAAATTCTTGCTACCAATAGGATGTTATTTATATGGGGGGGATACAATCTTCCCAGCTGCAGATTTTGCTGCGAAGAGAGAATCATTAGATCATTTGTTTTGGTACTGTCCATTTGTAGCTTGTTTTTGGACACAGGTCCAGGAATGGCTAAAGTATTGCAATATTTACCTGGCGCTAACCCTGCAGATGGCACTACTGGGTGATCTGAAAAGTCATAATCAATCGATCAATAATATAATACTTTTAGCAAAAAAGTTTTTTTTTCAATTTACGATCTGTAGAAACAATGAGAATAGAAAGGTTCAGAACTTTTGTAAAACATCACAGTTGAAAAATATGGCAAATAGAAATCCAATATGGATGGTGTCAAGAGATAGATGGGAGGTGTTGAATGGAGCTGAAGGATGGGACTAATAACAACAACAACAAGATAACTAATGTAAAGCATACTTGTCCATAAGTATATAGGTTATAGGTTAAGAGCTTTTGTGAAAGAGCACAGTTAGAAAAATATGGCATATGGAAGCAAACCAGATGGACATCATGAAAATGATCAGCGGAAGTTCAGGAGTAAAAACAAACAAAATATAATTGTAGAATTTGACTGTGTCCATAAAATGTATATAATATGTATGGGCTGGAAGTAGAGGCCTAAGCGTTGTTGTTCACTAGTTTACTCCAATTGGGTAAGGGGTGGTGGGGTTGGAAAGTAATGAAGGGAAATATATATTTTTTTAAATGTGTGTGTGTGTGTATGTACAGTGGGGAGAACAAGTATTTGATACACTGCCGATTTTGCAGGTTTTCCTACTTACAACGCATGTAGAGGTCTGTAATTTTTATCATAGGTACACTTCAACTGTGAGAGACGGAATCTAAAACAAAAATCCAGAAAATCACATTGTGTGATTTTTAAGTAATTAATTTGCATTTTATTGCATGACATAAGTATTTGATACATCAGAAAAGCAGAACTTAATATTTGGTACAGAAACCTTTGTTTGCAATTACAGAGATCATACGTTTCCTGTAGGTCTTGACCAGGTTTGCACACACTGCAGCAGGGATTTTGGCCCACTCCTCCATACAGATCCTTCAGGTTTCGGGGCTGTCGCTGGGCAATACGGACTTTCAGCTCCCTCCAAAGATGTTCTATTGGGTTCAGGTCTGGAGACTGGCTAGGCCACTCCAGGACCTTGAGATGCTTTTTACGGAGCCACTCCTTAGTTGCCCTGGCTGTGTGTTTTGGGTCGTTGTCATGCTGGAAGACCCAGCCACGACCCATCTTCAATGATCTTAATGAGGGAAGGAGGTTGTTGGCCAAGATCTCGCGATACATGGCACCATCCATCCTCCCCTCAATACGGTGCAGTCGTCCTGTCCCCTTTGCAGAAAAGCATCCCCAAAGAATGATGTTTCCACCTCCATGCTTCACGGTTGGAATGGTGTTCTTGGGGTTGTACTCATCCTTCTTCCTCCAAACACGGCGAGTGGAGTTTAGACCAAAAAGCTCTATTTTTGTCTCATCAGACCACATGACCTTCTCCCATTCCTCCTCTGGATCATCCAGATGGTCATTGGCAAACTTCAGACGGGCCTGGACATGCGCTGGCTTGAGCAGGGGAACCTTGCATGCGCTGCAGGATTTTAATCCATGACGGCGTAGTGTGTTACTAATGGTTTTCTTTGAGACTGTGGTCCCAGCTCTCTTCAGGTCATTGACCAGGTCCTGCCGTGTAGTTCTGGGCTGATCCCTCACCTTCCTCATGATCATTGATGCCCCACGAGGTGAGATCTTGCATGGAGCCCCAGACCAAGGGTGATTGACCGTCATCTTGAACTTCTTCCATTTTCTAATAATTGCGCCAACAGTTGTTGCCTTCTCACCAAGCTGCTTGCCTATTGTCCTGTAGCCCATCCCAGCCTTGTGTAGGTCTACAATCTTGTCCCTGACATCCTTGGAGAGCTCTTTGGTCTTGGCCATGGTGGAGAGTTTGGAATCTGATTGATTGATTGCTTCTATGGACAGGTGTCTTTTATACAGGTAACAAGCTAAGATTAGTAGCACTCCCTTTAAGAGTGTGCTCCTAATCTCAGCTCGTTACCTGTATAAAAGACACCTGGGAGCCAGAAATCTTTCTGATTGAGAGGTGGTCAAATACTTATTTCCCTCATTAAAATGCAAATCAATTTATAACATTTTTGACATGCGTTTTTCTGGATTTTTTTGTTATTCTGTCTCTCACTGTTCAAATAAACCTACCATTAATTATAGACTGATCATGTCTTTGTCAGTGGGCAAACGTACAAAATCAGCAGGGGATCAAATACTTTTTTTTTTTTTTTCCCCTCACTGTACATGGATGGATGGATGGTTGAAGTCGGAAGTTTACATACACCTTAGCCAAATACATTTAAACTCAGTTTTTCACAATTCCTGACATTTAATCCTAGTAAAAATTCCCCGTTTTTAGGTCAGTAAGGATCACCACTTTATTTTAAGAATGTGAAATGTCAGAATAATAGTAGAGTGATTTATTTCAGCTTTTATTTATTTCATCACATTCCCAGTGGGACAGAAGTTTACATACACTCAATTAGTATTTGGTAGCATTGCCTTTAAATTGTTTAACTTGGGTCAAACGTTTCGGATAGCCTTCCACAAGCTTCCCACAATAAGTTGGGTGAATTTTGGCCCATTCCTCCTGACAGAGCTGGTGTAACTGAGTCAGGTTTGTCGGCCTCCTTGCTCACACGTGCTTTTTCAGTTCTGCCCACAAATGTTCTATAGGATTGAAGTCAGGGCTTTGTGATGGCCACTCCAATACCTTGACTGTGTTGTCCTTAAGCCATTTTGCCACAACTTTGGAAGTATGCTTGGGGTCATTGTCCATTTGGAAGACCCATTTGCGACCAAGCTTTAACTTCCTGACTGATGTCTTGAGATGTTGCTTCAATATATTCACATAATTTTCCTTCATCATGATGCCATCTATTTTGTGAAGTACACCAATCCCTCCTGCAGCAAAGCACCTCCACAGGATGATGCTGCCACCCCCATGCTTCACAGTTGGGATGGTGTTCTTCGGCTTGCTAGCACCCCCTTTTTCCTCCAAACATAACGATGGTCATTATGGCCAAACAGTTCTATTGTTGTTTCAGCAGACCAGAGGACATTTCTCCAAAAAGTACGATCTTTGTCCCCATGTGCAGTTGCAAACCATAGTTTGGCTTTTTTATGGCGGTTTTGGAGCAGTGGCATCTTCCTTGCTGAGCGGCCTTTCAGGTTATGTCGATATAGGACTAGTTTTACTGTGGATATAGATACTTTTGTACCTGTTTCCTCCAGCATCTTCACAAGGTCCTTTGCTGTTGTTCTGGGATTTATTTGCACTTTTCGCACCAAAGTACGTTCATCTCTAGGAGACAGAACGCGTCTCCTTCCTGAGCGGTATGACGGCTGCGTGGTCCCATGGTGTTTATACTTGCGTACTATTGTTTGTACAGATGAACGTGGTACCTTCAGGCGTTTTGGAAATTGCTCCCAAGGATGAACCAGACTTGTGGAGGTCTACAATTTTTTTCTGAGGTCTTGGCTGATTTCTTTTGATTTTGTACCTGTGGATGTATTTCAAGGCCTACCTTCAAACTGTCTGTAAACAGTTGTTGGAAAAATTACTTGTCATGCACAAAGTAGATGTCCTAACCGACTTGCCAAAACTATACTTTGTTAACAAGAAATTTGTGGAGTGGTTGAAAAACAAGTTTTAATGACTCCAACCTAAGTGTATGTTAACTTCCAACTTCAACTGTATATATATATATATATATATATGTATGTATGTGTGTATGTATGTGTTATTTATTTATTTATTTATTTATTTATTTATTTATTTGCAAGGGAAAAAAACATGGGGGATTGGAATTGATGCAGACAATTACATTGATGGAAGTTACAATCTATCTGAAATATTAAAGCTGATCTACCCCCTAGTTGTGTCATGTAAATAAAACCAGAAGAAGAGGCGAACTTTAGGCTACTTTGGTGAATTTACAAAGCATGCAAGACGACATTGCGAGACGCAAATTACCAAGACATATGTGCATGGTTCTCCCTGCTCCATTCTCTCTTGTGTTGGCCTGCCTGCTCTTTCTCTTCACTAATGATGGGAGTGTGTGTTTTGTATTCAGTCTTTGGTCTGTTGCGTGTAGAATATCCTAGCCTATTAATGACACTGATGTCGCCGGGATACAGAGGTATCTTCAGGCCAGTCTTGCGAGCATGGGATAGCCTACTCTTCGTTACGGAGTGGGTGGGGTGGGGGTGCTTTCATCTCATAATATGAAATTACAGTAGGCTACTGGCATGTTTGTTTGTCAGAGTAGGCTACACTACGGCTTTTTAAATGCCGACACGAAACCTTCTCTTGACATATGAATGGGCATTTTACTTGTCTGTGAAGGAATGCCGCTTCTGATGCGGGACAAACGTTCATCGCTAGGTGACCAGAACTGTCAATCAAATTATCTCGATCTGCCTGTACGCAGACCACTCTCCTAAAAAAAAGTACTTTAAAGTTCATTTAAATACTGTGACATACCAAGAAATTTAGTAGAAACAAAACACATCTAGCTACCCTACCATAAAAAACAACACAGCAGCACATCAATCCGCAACGTTTATTGTTGTCAAGGAAACAATACAGAACATTCTATGCAGAATTCTGTCTGAAAAGGTACAGATGCTTCTGATGCGGCAGAATTGTTTTTTTATTGTCTGAAAAGTTATCAATTGTTGCTATTGACACGTTACTGTAGCTGCGTTCTATGTCTGATAGAAATAATATAGCCCTAGGGGTCATACATGCGTAATAGTACCATTATTCTGCATTGTGAATTGAAGTGGAATTTTATGATTTTGCATCGTTTTAACGGAAAACCTATAAAAAAATGCCAGTTGAAGTGTTAAGCAAAATTGTCCGTTTGTCACATCCCTAATATTTCACCTCAATAATAATCATTTGACCATATATGTTTGTCAGGTGATTGACGAGCCTTATCTGAAGGTGCTCTACACGGCTGAGGAGAAGTACTCCCTGAAGAAGTCCTTCTACTCGGGCAAGACCAGCACCAGTAACTCTGCCGTGCGGCCCTCCCAGTACCTCACCATGGCCGTGGACGCCGAGGACAAACGCCAGCTGGAGGAGCAGATCAGTGTGAGGCCAGGGAAAATATGAATTTGAAATAACACATGCTATACACTGTCCATTTGCAATCAGTATACTTTTGTTGTTTCACACAGGAGAGGAACTTTCTAAGATTGACTCGACACCTGCCATAGTAATACATTTATATCATAGACACACAATGATGCCAGTTGGTATAGATTACTTACAGTAATGTAATAATAACCAGATGCTTAGCATAGCATTACACCTTGAAAGTGAAGTGTAACCTTTGGCCATGCCCAGACGGCTGAGAAGAGCATGCAGGCCATCGACGCACAGATGATAGCCACGCAGGAAAGTGCTGCCAAACTTGATCGCCGTGACAACGAGCTGCGGGCCCAGAAGAAGGCGCTCTCGGAGCTGAAGGGCAAAAAGAGACAGCTGGAGCAGAAGATCAGCACCAAGCAGGACAGGTGGGTGGCACACACACAGTGTAAACTTTTAGACAATACGTTTCGTATTTGTAAATTCTCTCTCACACACCATTTCCTCTTCTGTGTGTAGTCTTCGGCAGATGGAGCAGGGGGGCATTGATCTGCAAAAGGCTGAGGAAGAGACCAAGGCCCAGATCTCAGCAGTCAACTCCCAGAAGGTGGCCATTGTGGCTGAGTTCATGGCCCACATGAAGGTACACTGTCACAGGGGTTAATGCTGAAGGCTCAATATACACAGACTCTATGATACATGAGATGTGAATACTAAAACCCTTTCTCTTTATCCCACTCTCTCCTCCCCCTCTCCCTCCTCTAGCTGAGGGCTACGTTGAGTATGGAGAAGGTGTACATGGCTCTAGAGACCGTGGGCATGACAGCAGAGAAGACCAAGCTGGAGACTGACTGCAGGGACGGCTCGGCTGAGCTCAGGGTCCTAGAGGTCTGGAGGTCACACGCGCACACACACAGGATGTAAAGATGGCGCCGACAGAGAGGGCTGCCTCGCTTCTAGTCCTTAGGAAACTTTGCAGTATTTTGTTTTTTTTATGTATTATTTCATACATTGTTAGCCCAGAAAAAGTGTTGTTACATACAGCTGGGAAGAACTATTGGACATCAGAGCGGCTTCAACTTACCAGCACTACGACCAGGAATACGACTTTCCCGAAGCGGATTCCTTCTTCCGCACCACCCAGGACATTTGAACTGATTCCAGAGGCCGACCCAAAACAACGCCGCCAGAGGAGAGGGAGCCGGAGCGGTCTTCTAGTTAGACTTAGGAGGCGTGTACACCACCCATCGCTTCCGAGTATATTACTCGCTAATTTCCAGTCCCTAGACAACAAAGTTGACGAGATCAGGGCAAGGGTTGCTTTCCAGAGAGACATCAGGGATTGTAACATACTGTGTCACGGAAACATGGCTCTCTGGATATACTGTCCCCGTCCATACAGCTATCTGAGTTCTCAGTACATCGCGCCGACAGTAATAAACATCTCTCCGGGAAGAAGAAGGATGGGGGGGTATGTTTCATGACTAACGACTCATGGTGTAATTGTAACAACGTACAGGAACTCGGGTCATTTTGTTCACCTGACCTAGAATTCCTCACAATCAAATGCCGACCGTATTATCTCCCAAGAGAATTCTCTTCGGTTATAGTCACGGCCGTGTATATCCCCCCTCAAGCCGATACCACGACGGCCCTCAAGGAACTTCACTGGACTTTATGCAAACTGGAAACCATATATCCTGAGTCTGCATTTATTGTAGCTGGGGATTTTAACAAAGCAAATTTGAGAAAAGGGCTACCTAAATTCTATCAGCATATTGACTGTAGCACTCGCGCTGGAAAGACACCGGACCATTGTTAGACACATTTCCGCGATGCATACAAGGCCCTTCCCCGCCCTCCTTTCGGCAAATCTGACCACAACTCCATTTTGTTCCTCCCTTCCTATAGGCAGAAACTCAAACAGGAAGTACCCGTGGTTAGGACTATTCAAACGCTGGTCTGACCAATCGGAATCCACGCTTCAAGATTGTTTTGGTCATGCGGACTGGGATATGTTCCGGGTAGCCTCTGAGAATAGTATAGACGTATACGTTGATTCGGTGAGTGGGTTTATAAGGAAGTGTATAGGAGATGTCGTACCCACTGTGACTATTAAAACCTACCCTAACCAGAAACCGTGGATAGATGGCAGCATTCGCGAAAAACTGAAAGCACGAACCACCGCATTTAATCATGGCAAGGTGACTGGGAATATGGCAGAATACAAACAGAGTGGTCGTTCCCTCCGCAAGGCAATCAAACAGGCAAAACGTCAATATCGATACAAAGTGTCGCAATTCAACGGCTCAGACACGAGACGTATGTCACAGGGTTTACAGACAATCACGGACTACAATAGGAAAACCAGCCACGTCGCGGACACTGACGTCTTGCTGCCAGACAAACTAAACAAGTTCTTTGCCCACTTTGAGGATAACACAGTGCCACCGACACAGCCAGCTACCAAGGACTGCAGGCTCTCCTTCTCCATGGCCGACGTGAGTAAGACATTTAAACGTGTTAACCCTCGCAAGGCTGCCGGCCCAGACGGCATTCCTAGCCCCGTCCTCAGAGCATGCGCAGACCAGCTGGCTGGTGTGTTTACGGACATATTCAATCTCTCCCTATCCCAGTCTGCTGTCCCCACATGCTTCAAGATGGCGACCATTGTTCCTGTACCCAAGAATGCAAAGGTAACTGAACTAAATGACTATCGCCACGTAGCACTCACTTCTGTCATCATGAAGTGCTTTGAGAGACTAGTCAAGGATCATATCACCTCCACCTTACCTGTCACCCTAGACCAACTTCAATTTGCTTACCGCCCCAATAGGTCCACAGACGATGCAATCGCCATCACACTGCACACTGCCCTATCCCATCTGGACAAGAGGAATACCTATGTAAGAATGCTGTTCATTGACTATAGCTCAGCATTCAACACCATAGTACCCTCCAAGCTCACCATTAAGCTTGAGGCCCTGGGTCTCAACCCTGCCCTGTGCAATTGGGTCCTGGACTTCCTGACGGGCCGCCCCCAGGTGGTGAAACAACATCTCTACTTCGCTGATCCTCAACACTGGGGCCCCACAAGGGTGTGTGCTCAGCCCCCTCCTGTACTCCCTGTTCACCCATGACTACGTAGCCATGCACGCCTCCAACTCAATCATTAAGTTTGCAGACGACACAACAGTAGTATGCTTGATTACCAACAACGATGAGACAGCCTACAGGGAGGAGGTGAGGGTCTTGGAGTGTGGTGTCAGGAAAATAACCTCTCACTCAACGTCAACAAAACAAAGAAGATGATTGTGGACTTCAAGAAACATCGACGGGACAGCAGTGGAGAAGGTGGAAAGTTAAGTTCCTCGTGTACATATCACTGACAAACTGAAATGGTCCACCCACACAGACAGTGTGGTGAAGGCGGCGCAACAGCATCTCTTCAACCTCAGGAGGCTGAAGAAATTTGGCCTGTCACCTAAAACCCTCACAAACTTTTACAGATGCACAATTGAGAGCATCCTGTTGGGCTGTATCACCGCCTGGTACGGCAACTGCACCGCCCACAACCGCAGGGCTCTCCAGAGGGTGGTGCGGTCTGCACAACGCATCACCAGGGGCAAACTACCTGCCCTCCTGGACACCTACAGTACCCGATGTCACAGGAAGGCCAAAAAGATAATCGAAGACAACTACCACCCGAGCCACTGCCTGTTCACCCCGCTATCATCCAGAAGGCGAGGTCAGTACAGGTGCATCAAAGCTGGGACCGAGAGACTGAAAAACAGATTCTATCTCAAGGCCATCAGACTGTTAAACAGCCATCACTAGCACAGAGAGGGTGCTGCCTACAAACAGACTTGAAAATCACTGGCCACTTTAATAAATGGAACACTAGTCACTTTAATAATGCCACTTTAATAATGTTTACATATCTTGCATTACCCATCTCATATGTACAGTGGGGGAAAAAAGTATTTAGTCAGCCACCAATTGTGCAAGTTCTCCCACTTAAAAAGATGAGAGGCCTGTAATTTTCATCATAGGTACACGTCAACTATGACATACAAATTGAGGAAAAAAAATCAAGAAAATCACATTGTAGGATTTTTTATGAATTCATTTGCAAATTATGGTGGAAAATAAGTATTTGGTCACCTACAAACAAGCAAGATTTCTGGCTCTCACAGACCTGTAACTTCTTCTTTAAGAGGCTCCTCTGTCCTCCACTCGTTACCTGTATTAATGGCACCTGTTTGAACTTGTTATCAGTATAAAAGACACCTGTCCACAACCTCAAACAGTCACACTCCAAACTCCACTATGGCCAAGACCAAAGAGCTGTCAAAGGACACCAGAAACAAAATTGTAGACCTGCACCAGGCTGGGAAGACTGAATCTGCAATAGGTAAGCAGCTTGGTTTGAAGAAATCAACTGTGGGAGCAATTATTAGGAAATGGAAGACATACAAAGACCACTGATAATCTCCCTCGATCTGGGGCTCCACGCAAGATCTCACCCCGTGGGGTCAAAATGATCACAAGAACGGTTAGCAAAAATCCCAGAACCACACGGGGGGACCTAGTGAATGACCTGCAGAGAGCTGGGACCAAAGTAACAAAGCCTACCATCAGTAACACACTACGCCGCCAGGGACTCATATCCTGCAGTGCAAGACGTGTCCCCCTGCTTAAGCCAGTACATGTCCAGGCCCGTCTGAAGTTTGCTAGAGTGCATTTGGATGATCCAGAAGAGGATTGGGAGAATGTCATATGGTCAGATGAAACCAAAATAGAACTTTTTGGTAAAAACTCAACTCGTCGTGTTTGGAGGACAAAGAATGCTGAGTTGCATCCAAAGAACACCATACCTACTGTGAAGCATGGGGGTGGAAACATCATGCTTTGGGGCTGTTTTTCTGCAAAGGGACCAGGACGACTGATCCGTGTAAAGGAAAGAATGAATGGGGCCATGTATCGTGAGATTTTGAGTGAAAACCTCCTTCCATCAGCAAGGGCATTGAAGATGAAACGTGGCTGGGTCTTTCAGCATGACAATGATCCCAAACACACCGCCCGGGCAACGAAGGAGTGGCTTCGTAAGAAGCATTTCAAGGTCCTGGAGTGGCCTAGCCAGTCTCCAGATCTCAACCCCATAGAAAATCTTTGGAGGGAGTTGAAAGTCCGTGTTGCCCAGCGACAGCCCCAAAACATCACTGCTCTAGAGGAGATCTGCATGGAGGAATGGGCCAAAATACCAGCAACAGTGTGTGAAAACCTTGTGAAGACTTACAGAAAACGTTTGACCTGTGTCATTGCCAACAAAGGGTATATAACAAAGTATTGAGAAACTTTTGTTATTGACCAAATACTTATTTTCCACCATCATTTGCAAATAAATTCATAAAAAATCCTACAATGTGATTTTCTGGAATTTTTTTCTCATTTTGTCTGTCATAGTTGACGTGTACCTATGATGAAAATTACAGGCCTCTCATCTTTTTAAGTGGGAGAATTTGCACAATTGGTGGCTGACTAAATACTTTTTTTCCCCACTGTATATACTGTATTCTATACTATTTTAATAATGTTTACATATCTTGCATTACCCATCTCATATGTATATAATGTATTATATCTATTGCATCTTAGCCTATGCCACTCTGATAATGATATTGCTCATCCATATATTTATATATTCTTATTCCATTCCTTTACTTAGATTTGTGTGTATTAGGTTTTTGTTGTGGAACTGTTAGATATTACTTGCTAGATATTGCTACACTGTCGGAACTAGAAGCACAAGCATTTCGCTACACTCGCAATAACATCTGCTAACCATGTGTATGTGACCAATACATTTGATTTGATTTTTAGCTATTACACACCACAATATTTCATGTATAATTTGCTGAGTGCTAACTGTGTGTGTGTGTGTTTCCTCTTTTTCCCCTCGCAGCAAGCGTGTGCCATGCTGGAGCAGCGTAAGGCCCGTCTATTGGAGAAATGTAAGGGCCTGCTGAGGAGGGCCAGGGAGATCTGTAACATGGATCCTGGAGAGAGTGTTGTACCCCCAGACCTACACACGGTCAGTATAGTACAGTAACCTCAACACTGAGTCGTCCATTCATTCTACCAGGTTTAATTCATTAATCTATTCATTCATTTGTATATTTCTTAATTTGTGTTCTGTAGGCCTTCAGCCAGCTGCCCGACACTCTGGATGAGATAGATGCCATGTTGAATGAGGAGAGGTCCAGGGCAGAGTGCTTCACTGGCCTCAGTGAGAATGTAAGTCAGAAGGCTCCAGTCCCTCGACTTCCTGGCGCTGACGGAAACATGGATTACCACTGAAAACACTGCTACTCCTACTGCTCTCTCCTCGTCTGACCATGTGTTCTCGCATACCCCGAGAGCATCTGGTCAGAGGGGTGGTGGCACAGGAATCCTCATCTCTCCCAAGTGGACATTCTCAATTTTTCCCCTAACCCATCTGTCTATCTCCTCATTTGAATTCCATGCTGTCACAGTCACTAGCCCATTTAAGCTTAATATCCTTGTCATCTATCGCCCTCCAGGTTCCCTTGGAGAGTTCATCAATGAGCTTGACGCCTTGATAAGTTCCTTTCCTGAGGATGGCTCACCCCTCACAGTTTTGGGGGATTTCAACCTCCCTATGTCCACATTTGACTCATTTCTCTCTGCCTCCTTCTTTCCACTTCTCTCCTCTTTTGACCTCACCCTCTCACCGTCCCCCCCTACTCACAAGGCAGGCAATACGCTTGACCTCATCTTTACTAGATGCTGCTCTTCTACTAATCTCACTGCAACTCCCCTCCATGTCTCCGACCACTACTTTGTTTCCTTTTCTCTCTCGCTCTCCTCCCACACTACTCACTCTGCCCCTACACAGATGGTAATGCACCGCCGCAACCTTCGCTCTCTCTCTCCCACTACTCTCTCCTCTTCCATCCTATCATCTCTTCCCTCTGCTCAAGCCTTCTCCCTCCAATCTCCTGATTCTGCCTCCTCAACCCTCCTCTCCTCCCTTTCTGCATCCTTTGACTCTCTGTGTCCCCTATCCTCCCGGCCGGCTCGGTCCTCCCCTCCAGCTCCGTGGCTTGATGACTCATTGCGAGCTCACAGAACAGAGCTCCGGGCAGCGGAGCGGAAATGGAAGAAAACTAAACTCCCTGCCGACCTGGCATCTTTTCACTCCCTCCTCTCTACATTTTCTTCATCTGTTTCTGCTGCTAAGGCCACTTTCTACCACTCTAAATTCCAAGCATCTGCCTCTAACCCTAGGAAGCTCTTTGCCACATTTTCCTCCCTCCTGAATCCTCCCCCCCCCCCCCGCCCCCCCCCTCCTCTCTCTCTGTGGATGACTTCGTCAACCACTTTGAAAAGAAGGTTGACGACATTCGATCCTCGTTTGTTAAGTCTAATGACACTGCTGGTCCTACTCACACTGCCCTACCCTATGCTTTGACTTCTTTCTCCCCTCTCTCTCCAGATAAAATCCTGCGACTTGTGACTGCAGGCCGCCCAACAACCTGCCCGCTTGACCCCATCCCCTCCTCTCTTCTCCAGACCATCTCCGGTGACCTTCTCCCCTACCTCACCTCGCTGATCAACTCATCCTTGACCGCTGGCCATGTCCCTTCCGTCTTCAAGAGAGCGAGAGTTGCTCCCCTTCTCAAGAAACCAACACTCGATCCCACTGATGTCAACAACTACAGACCAGTATCCCTTCTTTCTTTTCTTTCCAAAACTATTGAGCGTGCCGTCTTTAGCCAACTCTCTTGCTATCTCTCTCAGAATGACCTTCTTGATCCAAACCAGTCAGGTTTCAGGACTGGTCATTCAACTGAGACTGCTCTTCTCTGTGTCACGGAGGCTCTCCGCACTGCTAAAGCTAACTCTCTCTCCTCTGCTCTTGTCCTTCTAGACCTGTCTGCTGCCTTTGATACTGTGAACCATCAGATCCTCCTCTCCACCCTCTCCGAACTGGGCATCTCCGGCGCGGCTCACTCCTGGATTGCGTCCTACCTGACCGGTCGCTCCTACCAAGTGGCGTGGCGAGAAGCTGTCTCCGCACCACGTGCTCTCACCACTGGTGTCCCCCAGGGCTCAGTTCTAGGCCCTCTCCTTTTCTCCCTATACACCAAGTCACTTGGCTCTGTCATATCCTCACATGGCCTCTCCTATCATTGCTACGCTGACGATACACAACTAATCTTCTCCTTTCCCCCTTCTGATAACCAGGTGGCGAATCGCATCTCTGCATGTCTGGCAGACATATCAGTATGGATGACGGATCACCACCTCAAGCTGAACCCTGGCAAGACGGAGCTGCTCTTCCTCCCGGGGAAGGACTGCCCGTTCCATGATCTCGCCATCACGGTTGACAACTCCGCTGTGTCCTCCTCCCAGAGTGCGAAGAGCCTAGGCGTGACCCTGGACAACACCCTGTCGTTCTCCGCCAACATCAAGGCGGTGACCCGCTCCTGCAGGTTCATGCTCTACAACATTCGGAGAGTACGACCCTGCCTTACACAGGAAGCGGCACAGGTCCTAATCCAGGCACTTGTCATCTCCCGTCTGGACTACTGCAACTCGCTGTTGGCTGGCCTCCCTGCCTGTGCCATTAAACCCCTACAACTCATCCAGAATGCCGCAGCCCGTCTGGTGTTCAACCTTCCCAAGTTCTCTCACGTCACCCCCCTCCTCCGCACACTCCACTGGCTTCCAGTTGAAGCTCGCATCCGCTACAAGACCATGGTGCTTGCCTATGGAGCAGTGAGGGGAACGGCACCTCTGTACCTTCGGGCTCTGATCAGTCCCTACACCCAAACGAGGGCATTGCGTTCATCCACCTCTGGCCTGCTGGCTCCCCTTCCTCTGCGGAAGCATAGTTCCCGCTCATCCCAGTCAAAACTGTTCGCTGCTCTGGCACCCCAATGGTGGAACAAGCTCCCTCACGACGCCAGGACAGCGGAGTCACTCACCACCTTCCGGAGACATTTGAAACCCCACCTCTTTAAGGAATACCTGGGATAGGATAAAGTAATCCTTCTACCCCCCCAAAAAAAAAATTGTAAAGTGGTTATCCCACTGGCTATAGGGTGAACGCACCAATTGGTGAGTCGCTCTGGATAAGAGCGTCTGCTAAATGACGTAAATGTGCCCTTGAGCAAGGCACTTAACCCTAATTGCTCCTGTAAGTCGCTCTGGATAAGAGCGTCTGCTAAATGACTAAAATGTAAATGTAAATGTAAAGCATGCAGTGTGTGTGTCACTGGCATACCACACACTCCCGCAGTGGGTAAAACCGCAAAATAATTCTAAGCCTCAGGGCAAAATGTGTAGAATAGCAGGAAATTAGCTTTAAAACATCAACCTTTTCCCTCAGCCTCATGGCAAAATGTGTAAAATGGCATGAGAATAGCTATAAAACTGCAAATGTTTATTTTTGCCCCACGCCAATGTGTAGAATTGTAGGAAGTTAGCTGTCACCACCCCCCCCCCCCCCATCCCAAAAATATGTAATATTTTGGCGGTATGCCACTGGTGTGTGTGTGTGTGTGTCTGAGAGCATAGATTCTGCCTCACTATTTGACCTCCCTCCCCAGGTGGTGGATGAGTACAACAGAAGAGAGCAGGAGATCAAGAACCTGGAGAAAGAGCTGGATGACAAGAGCAATGCCCTTGACACCTACAGACAGAACATATCAGAGGTACTTCAGTGTTTTGGATGAATGCCATTGGCCAGATTTACTTTTTTTCAGAGGATTACAAAAAACTAAGCTTAAATGTGAAATTACCTTTAAATAGTTCCATACCTGATTTTAAATTGCATTGTAATATTTTTCCTTCATATTTTTTGTTATTTCAATGCGTCATAAAAAAGCAGGTGCAAAATTGGCCTCAGAAAATACACAATCTAGAAAATATGTGTGTTTGGTAGTGTACTTGCGTAAAAGTGCATGTTCAGGTGTGTTGTCTTGTAGAGAGCGATGTTTCCTTCCTGAGTCCTTCTCCCTCTCTCTGTTGACAGGCTAAGGAGCGCTGGCTGAACCCTCTGAAGCAACTGGTAGAGCAGATCAATGACAAGTTCAGTGATTTCTTCCGCTCCATGCAGTGTGCCGGGGAGGTGGATCTGCACTCAGAGAATGAGGTAAGCATGCCACACAACCTGTTCGCACAAGGTGCTTAAAGTACTTGAATTTGGCACTCTGAAATTCAAGTACTGGAATACCTTGAAAATCACTTGAAAAGTACTTGAATTAAAATGAGAACAGAAAATGATCAAATACTGTGTTAATATTAAAAATATTAGAAAAATATATTGGTCTTGCAAATTCATTTCCAGTCAAACTAGAGAGTTTTATTCACTCACGTGTTTCGCGCTCTGGATGCCAGGCGAGATCGCTCATTCCACCCACAATGCCACTCAGCCAGGCAGGTACAGAACTGACTGATTTAGGCGGCGCCAAACGTCGTATCGATAGCTAAAATGCCGGGCAAATGTAGATTAAATTCTGGCAGGATATTGATGTTTATGAATGGGTTTTGCCAGACCCAACCAGGGATCTAGTGGACGGTAAACGCTGTTTTACACACCTCTTTATTTGTGAAATAGCATTTACTCACTTATTGCGTTCCCCGAGTTTATCAATGCTCAGAAGGCTTCTTGATCTGAGTTCTAATCGCGCCTACCACTGCGAACGAGTGGAATCATGAATGATTCATGTATGCTTGTTATGTTCGCCTGCTTCCTCGGATTAGCCTTGTTAGCCGCGCATTCATTCACCACTCAGTCCAACGGGAAACTCCGCCCACGACATAGGCCGAGAGGTGAAGCTAACTACCTCAGCCCAGACCTAGTGGCAGAGAGACGCTGCTGACAGTGGGATTTTTTTTTTTTTTTTTTTCAATCCCTCGACTCCTGCCGTGTCAACAGACATCCCCCAAATAAAAGCCCTCTGACTCTCGGAGAATGAGTGTACAACTGTTAGCCAGGTAGCTAGCTATAACTAGCTGGCTAGAAGGATGAAGTTAGAAGCTAACGTTGAACGGAGCCAGACCTCAGCAGGACCAGTTGACTGAAATTAAGCTAGCTATAATCAAAAGATGGGCTACTATAAGTTCTCATAACAAAATACCTATTCTTTACAGAGAGTAGTGAGACAGACAGTGGTGAGTCAGGCTGCAATGAAGGAGGCAAAGGAGATACATAGAGAGAGGAAGCATTGAAGCAAGCAGGGAGAGAGGTTAGTAGTACAGTGGTTCCCAAACTTGGGGTTGGGGACCCATGTGGGGTCCTCTAAAATTTAAATAGGGTCCCCTGAGTGAACACAATAACTTGTTTCTCTTCAAATGGGTATAGAATACAACATTTTAGAGTCAACTAAGGGCCTTTTACGCTGTCAGAATTCACTTTCATGTCATTATTTGTTTGTAAAACCTGTGGGACATAACATTTAGTGAAATATAAGGACAATGTAATATTATTATCATGTACACTGAACAAAAATATATAAACGCAACATGGAACATTTTCAAAGATCTTACTGAGGTACAGTTCATATGAGGAAATAAGTCATCAGTACTGACTTACCACTCCTGTATGTAGTAAACAGGTAGTGAAAGAGGTATTATTGAGTAGAACTTGTAAGGTAGTGATGAATAGTAAGTTAGTTGTTTTTTTCCCATGAGGTTGTGGCGGTATACTGCCATCTGGTGGCGACTAGAAGCAATTGCATAATAGGAACTATTACAAATTAATGGTCCTTGGAAATAAGTATTAGTGCTTGAAAAAGTACTTGAAAGTCCTTGAATTTGACTTGCTGGTTTACCCTGTATATCAGGTGTCCCCAACTACATTCAGCCTTTTTTTTATCTTGAGTGGATTGCCGGGGGGGAAATAATTTGTACACTGCAAATTGACCTTAAGAAGCCCAAACAGATATAGCATTTGACGTAAAACATCATTTCAAACCTTGATTACATTTGGGATACGATCACATATGCCTCTCTATTTATGCGTGGGAATACTTGGGAACACATTTCCTAAATTAAAATCACTGAGCTGATATCCTGGTGGTTTTAGTCTTTTATGTCCAACAACGAAAAATAGTATTTATTTTATTATTTAAATAGTTATCCCGCGGGCTGCCATTAAAGTTTTTCTTTAAAACCCTGCGGTCGGCCTTGAACTTCTGTGGCTTCAATGAGAGGGGGCAGTCGTTCTACCCTGGTGGGAGCTCTAGTAGCAGTAGTAGAGTTCCGTCTGTGACTGGTGCCTGTCCCCTGCAGGAGGAATATGATAAGTACGGGATCCGCATCCGGGTGAAGTTCCGCAGCAGCACACAGCTCCACGAGCTCACAGCACACCACCAGAGTGGGGGGGAACGCAGTGTTTCCACCATGCTCTACCTCATGGCCCTGCAAGAGCTCAACCGCTGCCCTTTCCGAGTGGTGGACGAGATCAACCAGGTATGTAATACACACACACACACACCAACTAGTGATGGGGGAAAAATCGATACAGTTGCATATTGGGATATTATTTTTGACTGTATTGTTTTGACAATATCGCTATATTATTTTTGCGCTAGTTGGCTGTACCTGCACCAAAACTCATAACTTGTTTTCCATCTTTTTAAAAAGGAAGCCAATTAGTTTTCAGCACTTTTATTTCCATGACTGATCTAAACTGGTTTTCTCATGACTCTTTCTTGTCCCTCTGCAGCAGACATGGTGAGCAATATGTTTGGAACATCGAATTGCAATATAATCACAGTATCGAATCACAATACATATAGAATCGCAATACATACGTATCGGCACCTAAGTATCGTGATCATATCGTGAGGTCCCTGGCAATTCCCAGCCCTAACACCAACTGGCCGCTAAGAGTGGTAAAATCACTTAAACATCCAGACTGTATTCACACAGGCTTTTTCTTCCTATTCCAACCAGGGTATGGACCCGGTCAATGAGAGGAGAGTCTTTGACATTGTGGTACGGACAGCCTGCAAGGAGACTACCTCCCAGTACTTTTTCATCACACCCAAGGTAAGTGTCACATTGCATAGGTGGTTACTTACTGTTTAGTGGGTGTGTTCGAGTAGTAAGGCTAAAGAAGCGGACTGTAGACTAGACGAAAATTGAGTGAAGTCTAGGGAGGTATTTTTTTTACTGCGAGTACTTTTTTGAGTACTCAATTTTTAAAAAACTGCTACTTTTAGACACAAGGCCCTCACTGGAAAAAATGTGTGCATTTATCTATATGCCAACAGTGTGCAACAATTCCTAATTTATCATAACCATTACAGATAATTAATCCTAATTGCTAAATTGCCCCATATATATTCAGTCAATAAAAAAACAAGTGCCATTTAAGATACATTTATTGAAACCGTAATATCAACTATATTATATCGTAGAACATAATCTTCAAAAAGGCAGTAACCTCAGCAATGGCACTTGCTTGTAAAAGCCTATGGTTGTGCAATGGCATAGCCTTGTTTTGTTAATTTAGCAGACAAGGCGCTATTATTTCCCGAGCCCTTATCACAGTCAAGACACCTATTTTATAGTTTAAAAATATATATAACAGGACAAAAATGGAACAGAATATTTTTGTGATGCGCTGCGCATCTCACATTTGGAAGTTATTCTCAACGAGTGATTTAATTTATTCTGCCTGTACTTTGGGATTTTCACTGCATGGGGATGAATTACAGCCACGGAATCTGTTTGGTGAGTAGGCCTAGGCTTAATGAGGCTGATGAAAATACGCTCTGTCTTTATTAAACTAATGTTTTTGCATATTTTCAGTGTGATGTTAAGGGGGGTTATAGCCTAGGCTAATCAATGCGAACTGCTAGTGCCATTTAGAAAAGTAGCCTAAGCGGAAAATAGACGGGACGCAATTATTCCAAAACTGCAGCTCGTTGTTGGAACACATATTTCTTTACATCAATCAACCAGTCCGTTTTGAATGTGTGATAAAACTGGCATTTGGCAAGGAATTAGATATGTTTTTATAGGCATTTATTTCTGTAGGCCTAACGGGAGCTTGTGTGCACACTCAGCACGCATGTGTAGAAGGAGCGGTAGGAACGCAATTGAGTGAGACGCGAAAGGGAATTTAGGGAGAAGAACTGTGTGATGCTTGGCTTTGTTTCTTTTTTGCTGTGCCCTGCAAAAGTGCATGTACAAATGGAACACTAGAGTCAAAGCAAATTAATGTTGTCTTCAAGACAAAATGTTGATCTCTGGTTAAAGATAGAGTTTTGACATCCGTTTGAGTACTCGTGTACTCATGCCCATCCCTAGAGGGAGGTGCATCTGCGACTGGCCGAAAGAGAGACACAGTAGTGGTTTTCTGATAGCAAGGCTCCGATCAACATGGCAATGTCAACATACAGTAGCTGCTACTGTTTATAAAAGTTTTTCTTAAAAAATGCTGGAAAACTTTCTATACCCCGATATCACACACTCACAAACGTGTGTGTACGATTCAATGATTAGAGAGAAGTCTCATGTCCCTTTCATTTGCATCCCTGAATGATGGTCACCGACTAGACAAAATAGATCTGCTCGAATGCACCCAGTGTGTGTCTGTGTTCTGGATTAATGTGTGTGTTTCTCTCTTTCCAGCTCCTGCAGAACCTCCAGTATGCAGATGAGATGACCGTCCTGTGTGTCCATAACGGACCTCACATGCTGCCCCCCCACAAGTGGGATGAGAAGGCCTTCACCAGACGCCGCATGGTCAAATAGTGAAATCACCAGTTAACGCTTTTCTGAGCTCTGCCATCTAGTGCCATCATTTTTGGTTTGACAGAAAAAAATTAAAGGCACAATCAGTTCTTTATTTTGCCGTTGTTCGCCCTACAGATTTGCACAAATTATTTGTTTATTTTTATATACTCTTCAAATTAATAGATATTTTGTTTGTACTGTTCAAATAAATGTTTTCTGTAAATGTATGACTAAGAAAAATGTATTGTCAATTGTTTAGATGCAAGTGTGGAAAGGTATACCTAGTCAGTTGCACAACAATGCATTAAACCGAAATGTGTATAACGCATTTAACCCGACCCCTCTGAATCAGAGTGGTGCGGAGGGCTGCCTTAATCGAGGTCCATGTCATCGGCGCTCGGGAGCAGCTGTTGCCTTGCTCAAGGGCAGAACAGCAGATTTTTCCACCTTGCCGGCTTGGGGATTCGAACAAGCAACCTTTCGGTTACCGTCCCAGCGCTCTAACCGCTTAGCTACCTGCCGCACAAGCACTGTTACATTTAGGGTCAAACAAAATAATAATGGATTCATTTTACATTTCAGTGACATCTAGCTGTCAGCATGGCAAGAAACATTTCTGGATTATTTTTAATACATGTTAGTATGTTAGCTAATGGTTTTTTGCTGAGTGCTTAGGACATCAGATACTGAAATCACCAAGCTTTTCCCTCACCCCCTCCCATTGTATCAATGGTCTCTTGATCAACTTGGTTACCTTTTGTCTAAAAACCAGAGGGGTGGGGGGGCAAAGAGATCAGAGGTGGCAGAACGGAGTGCTCGGGTTGGGGTGTAGGGTTTGAGCATAGCCTGGCGGTAAGGAGGGGCAGTTCCTCTTGCTGCTCCGTAGGCAAGTACCATGGTCTTGTAATGGATGTGAGCTTTGACTGGAAGCCAGTGGAGTGTGCGGAGGAGCGGGGTGACATGGGAGAACTTGGGAAGGTTGAACACCAGGTGTGCTGCAGCATTCTGGATAAGTTGCAGGGGTTTGATTGCACAAGCGGGGAGCCCAGCCAACAGCGAGTTGCAGTAGTCCAGACGGGAGATTCGGACCTGCGCCGCTTTCTGTGTGCGGTAGGGTCGTACTCTACGAATGTTGTAGAGCATGAACCTGCAGGAACGAGTCACTGCTTTGATGTTTCCAGAGAACGACAGGGTGTTGTCCAAGGTCACGCCAAGGTTCTTTGCACTCTAGGAGGGGGACACCGTGGAGTTGTTAACTGTGATGGAGAGGTCTTGGAGTGGGCAGGCTCCATCTTGATGAGGTGGTGGGCAGACGTTCAAGCTGAGATATCTGCCAGCATGCAGAGATGCGTGTCGCCACCTGGGTTTCTCAGAAGGAGAAAGGTAGTTGTCATCTGCATCGCAATGATAGGACAGACCGTGTGAGGCAGGGATGGGCAACTGGTGGCCCGTGGACCACCCCCCTTTTTATTTTTATTTTTAAGAACTCAGTCTGGGTTTCAACTTACTGTTGCGAGTAAGAATAGTAGAATACACACGGTGCAATTTGGAAATGTTGTTCTGCATCAGCAGTTTTTCTGTTATGTCAGTCACTGATAGTCAGTCAATTAGACCATGTCAGCTCAAACATTTTTGATTTCTAAATTAGTTGAGCTGCCAGCTATCTAAACTTATCATAGTCAAATTACCTGCCGGGGGGCCCCCATTGATTCTGTTAGTCAGTCTCACTCAGATATAATATTAAAAACTGCAAACATTTCTCGCCACCCTATGGCAAAATGTGTAGAAAGGCAGAAAATGTGCTGTAAAACAGCTCATTTTCCTCTCCGCCCGTGGCAAAATGAGTAGATTTACATTAAATTAGTTATAAAATTGCAAAGTCTTCTCTCCGCCCCATGACAAAATGTGTAGATTGCACAATGTATTTTATTTTTTAATCTGCTGTCAAGAGGGGGGCCACAAATGTTTTGCTCGGAATGTGTGGGGAATGGATCTGGGTACGCAGACCCGTGAGCAACTGCAGCCCCTCATGATGAGTTTAGATTTTTTGTGGCCCCCACCCCATCAAAGTTGCCCATCCCTGATGTGAGGATATGACGGAGCCGAGTGACTTGGTGTATAGAGAGAAGAGGAGAGGGCCTAGAACCGAGCCATCAGGGACACCAGTAGTGCGAGTACTTGATGCAGACACAGATCCTCTCCACATCACCTGGTAGGTAGCGGCCTGCCAGGTAGGATGCAATCCAAGAGTGTGCAGAGCCTGAGACACCCAGCCCTGAAAGGTTGGAGAGGAGGATCTGAAGGTTCACAGTGTCGAAGGCAGCGGATGATCTATGAGGATGAGAACAGAGCAAAGAGAGTCAGCTTTGGCAGTGTGGCGAGCCTCTGTGACACACTCATTTACCAATCAAAATGTGTAGAATTGCAGGAAATTTGCTTTAAAACTGAAAATATGTATCTCCGCCCAATGGCAAAATGGGTAGGATTACAGGAAATTAGCTGTAAAACTGCACAAATGTTCTCTCTCGTTTAGGGCCCCCAAAATGCTAGGGCCCTGATAACCCTCATATTTTAAATTGTCTTGTGCTTTTTCCTTTTCTGGTGTTCTTATCTTGTTCAACATGTAGTTTCAAATGACTGATCAATGCCAGTACTGAAATTAAATCAGCATAGACGTTACCCAATATTATTTTATTTACTAGTCAGTGCTAACATTAGTATGACATTGTGTAACGTAAACAAGGTATTACTCAAGTTCGACATTATTTACTTCCCTAATATACAGTCATTGTTTACTCCGGTGTTTTGTTGGTACACCGTGTCCAAGCCACGAATGATGCAAAAACGATGACAGATGATTAGCGATGCTTGTTTGGGGCGTTGACTGCTCAAATTCACTGATTTCCAAAACATCCGCTAACGGTCTTCAAAATGGTTGCATTGTAGCTAACGCTTGTCCCGTATGTGTTAAAATTAGAGCGACGACCGAAAATGGGTGCCCCTACCCTCCTCCAACCATGGGGTCGCTATCTTCCATGACGTGTTTTTCCACTCCTCTTACTAAAGAAGGCAACAAACGCTCAAGCGATGGAAAACATTAGCTAGGCTAGCCAGCTGGTGGGAGTCAACGCTGACGGAGCCTTAGTATCTCAGAAACGGGAAACGGAGAGTCTGCCAGGACTTTTCTTACACCGAATGACCCGGCACTACAGAGCAAGAACCCTCTGATTAAATTAAGCTACACCGATAATAAGGTAAGTGAAATGCCTTTAAAAGTATTTGCCTGCCAATGTTAGCTACTGTAGCTGTCTAACAGTTGTTTACTGTGAGTGTGAAAAAGGATATCGAAAATGTATTGGCTAACGTTAGAACTAGTCAGTTTTTACTTTTACTAGCTAATGTAAAATAACCTAACTATACAGGTCAGTCGAAGCTATTTTAATCCGTTTAATTACTTTATGGTGAAGTAATGAGGGCAAACGGCTGGCTACCTAACGTTACCTAATTAGCTAGCTGTTTTTGTCCACGAAATGAAAAGGGCTAGGTAGTTAGCGTCATGTATAGCTATCTTTTTCTTCGGGGGAAAAGTCAGAACATTTTCACCGCGGAAAACAATCCCAGAACTGGCCAGCTAACTAACGTTAACTAGCTACCTAAAACGACAACCATCTGAGTTCGATCAGCGTGGTTGATGATGATTATCTTAGATCACTAACGTTACGTTAGGTTGACGAGTGTGTGATGTGCGGATCATCTCGACCCGAGCCCTCGGCGAGGCAACCTCAACCTCGAATATTTTACTTGGTTAACGTAGGTAGCAACCAACGTCTGTTGGAATGGGCATCTGTTTTAGTTAACGTAAGCTACAGATGTAGGTAACTAGTTATTGGTGTACCGAAATTATTTGCTCATTTTGAACTGCCAAAACAGGAAGAGTCTGGCAGGAACAAAGACATGACAACGTGCTAACGTTAGCTAGCTAATAATCGTGATTTGCGATTAACCACATTTCGCTACCTAACGTTTGATATATTATTGAATCATATTATTGATCATTAGCTAGTTAGCTACTGCAATATGATCATGTCATGTGCAGTTAGGAAACAACGCTGTGATATCAATAAAACTATCGAGTACAGTACGTTAGCTACCTAGCTAGATGTCGGAATGACAATCTTCGCTAGCTAACGTTAACTAGCATGACTCAGTGGATTTACAGAGCAGCCGAGGCCTCCAATGGGTGCAATGTCTGAATCGTTGGCCTGAGCTTTCGTTCCAGCTTGCTCGCCAGTCTGTTTGGAGGAATTTATTAAATATATGTTGAAATGCATTATAGTTTGTCTAACGTTGTCAGTGGCTAACGTTGTTTCGATATAAAGTAAACCTTGTCATTGGACCCTAAGTAACGTTGGGGGGGATTCCTTCATGTTTTTCCTATAATATATATATTTTGTATATCATTTATAGCTACATCATGGGACTATTTGCTTATCAGCTAACACCACATTTCCTATCGAGGCATGTGGCTTTGCAGCTTGTAGGTATGCAGCTAGCCAACTCCACGATTTACAATGGCGTTGAGCGGCCACTCGTGTGGGCGGACTGGAGCGCCGACGTCACATTTGATCAAACTACTGATTTTCAGCACACAACGAATAACCCACAATTATGCCGCGTTGTTCATGACGTTAATGAACTTCAGGTCGGAAGTTGGATGACCGTTCAAAACGGGTTTTCCCAGTAGGAGCACTTTTTTCCCGCTAGATTTACAAGTTGTTTTGAATGTAGTGTGTAATTGCATGCTATTCTTTTGGGTGCTGACGATGCCTCATTTTATGTTACGTCGGAGCTCCAGTCCGCCCACACGGCTGGTATGTAGCTAAATATTGTAATATAGTGCATTCAAACTTTAAGCGCCCTACTTTCGTTCCAATATAAATAAACAATCAATGCACAGTCCCGCTGTGTGAGCAGGCTTTGTGTGATGTAACCAAACCTTAGTGGGCCTTCCAGGGTTGCCTATAAATAGTCAGGTTGTTTGAGATCAGTGTGTCAACCTTGCTTGTGACAGGCAAAAGCCAATACTCCTGTCCATGTGAGTCAGTGCGTTTGTAACCAAGTGTGGTGGGAATTTACCACCAGAGTTAGAGGACTCTAGATGGATAAAACCTGTTCTGGCACTGCCATTGAGGGCTTCCACCATGTTAAAGTAGCCAACTGGGTGGGCCTTCCTATGGGTGAAGACGGATCAGCCAAGGAATTATACTTGTGAGCAAACATTCTATAACAATAGGTGGCAGTAAATCGCTAGCCTTGGCTTTATACCTGTTCTAACACTCTAGCTGGCAGTATGCACCCTTTCAGTTTGTTTGCCAACTCTGAAGTAGTAGAAAATGGACTACTTCAAATTGGAGATGGCCGCAATGGCGCTGCCCGTGTGCTCAGATGCCGTAATGGGACGTGTATTCACACCCCCTGACTTCTTCCACATTTTGTGGTTACAGCCTGAATTTAAAATTGATTAAATTGTGTCACTGGCCTACACACAATACCCCATAATGTCAAAGTGGAATGTTTTTTGGTTTTTTTTATGTTTACAAATTTACTCATGAAAAGCTGACATTTCAGTAAGTATTCAACCCCTTTTATTGCCAGCCTAAATAAGTTAAGTTTGCTTAACAAGTCACAAGTTGCATGGACTCATCTGTGCAATAAGTGTTTCATATGATTTTTAAATGACTACCTTATCTCTGTACCCCACACATACAATTATATGTAAGGTCCCTCAGTTGAGCAGTGAATTTCCCAGATTCAACCACAAAGACCAGGGAGGTTTTCCAATGGCTTGCATAATGTGGAAAATAAATTAACTTTGTCCTGAATACAAAGCGAGTACCACTCTTAATATTTTCAAACATGGGGGTGGCTGCATCATGTTATGGCTATGCTTGTCATCGACATGGACTAGGGATTTATAATTTATTTCTTTTTTAGGATATAAAAAAAAAAAAGAAACTGAATCGAGCCAAGCACAGGCAAAATCTTAGAGGATTCCCTGGTTCTAACTGCTTTCCCACAGACAGTGGGAGACAAATTCACCTTTCAGCAGGACAATAACCTAAAACACAAGGCCAAATATACGCTGGAGGTGCTTACCAAGATGACATTGAACATTACTGAGTGGCCTAGTTAGTTTTGACTTAATCTGCTTTAGAATATGTCTAGCAGGGCATAAAATTAGCACCTGCCAAATTAGGGTAGATTTAGGTATTGGCGGGTAAAAGTGTCTATTTCACCAGCCAATGCACATTGGCGGGTGGTCAATTTGCAGGTCTCTATAATGCGAGCATTACATTCGCGAATAAAAAGTTAGGTATGAGCACGTGCGAGTTGCAATTTGTATTAGTAAAATGCTGCAATGGCTGTTTTCAAAGTATATTTGCTGTTTTTGCTTCCTAGTTGCTAATCGCACAAAGAAATATGAATCCTATATCCCACCTCACGCTGCAACACTTCCTGGCAGTAGAGTTGTGAGTGAAGTGCTGATAGATTCATTTTTTGGAGGCGCTGCGCACAGGCATAGAAGTTGGTCTAATTTACTCACGTCGACAAAGCGACACTATGGCCTCGTGTTTCTTGGCTATTTAGATTTGTTTTGTTCACAAGCTAAGTTGTTTAGTTTGAGTCTGCTGCTTCAACTGATAGAGAAGAGATGCCTGTAGTCAGATCCAGGGTTGCCAGGTCAAGCAACATTTCTAGCCCAATGACCACTCAAAACCCGCTGAAAAGGCCTGAAAACTAGGCAAATAATTTTTTGGCCAGCAAGAGAGGAGTTGCCATATCTATACAATAAACGATTTTTCCGTTTCATTATCGAGCAGGAATATCATAGTAACTTGTAACAACGTTAGAAGCAAAATTCGCGTTTTCTCAAAATAATAATTATTGCAAGCTATGACATGGTGTAATAAAGGAATTTGAGTATGTTACAAGAGAAAAGATAATTCACCCCTATTAATCTCGCCAGATCATTTTCCATCGATGGATGTCTATTTAACTCGCTTGACTGCTATCATTATCATCCACTGCTAAGGGCTGTTCTTAAGCACGACGCAACGCGAAGTGCCTGGATTTAGCCGTAGTATATTGGCCATATACCACAAACCCTCGGGGGTTCTTATTGCTATTATAAACTGGTTACCAACATAATTAGAACAGTAAAAAGTAATTTTGTCATAACCGTGGTATATGGTCTGATATACCACGGCTTTCAGCATTCAGGGCTCGAACCAGGTTTATAATTGTAAATAAATCCCCTTTGAGCATGTGCATAACTATACATACATCTGACAGGAGAGTTTGAGTGATGAAAGTTGGACAGAGGATCTCAATCTCTGAGCAAGAAACACTTGGATGGCAATTGTGCTGTTATGTGCCCATTTGCGAGATTTACTTGTCATTTCAATAGGCATAGGCTACAGACTCAAATCTGGGTTTATGATTCTAATAAAATGTTGCCATAGTTTGCTTAGATAAAGGCAGGCAGCCTATAGCCCCTGATAGGTCTACATCTCATTTCAGATAGTCTACAGTAGCATAAACAAGATGTAGGCAATATGTAAACTGAACGATTTAGCAGCTTGCTTAGTTCAAATTAAGACACATTTATTCAACATGAATAGTGAGGCGATTTCGCAATAAGAAGTGCTTGTTTCCCCAATAGCCTGCTGGAATAGGCTACTGAGGATGGGTCATAATTTCAATCACTGAATTAAATATTAATATGTATATGAACTGGATATACTTGTCAACAACAGCCAGTGTTTATTTTTTTGAATTTGTTTTACCTGTAGCCCGACCTTTGCGATGTAGTAGGGAGTTGTAGTTTCCAACAGGCCAATATTCTACATAGTTTAGGGCAGAAAGCGTGGTAATTAACTGCATTGACCATAATCCATTGCGCGCCTACTTGTCCAGTCTGTGTGGGGCAGACATGGAAAGGAGACCGAAGACGCGCTATCGAGAGGAATAGAGAGCAGTTGCTTTGCAGGTATCTTAACCTGAAAATACATGATCTAAGTAATTGTTAGTTGGTATTCACCAGTCATAAAATTGCCTTTTTTACTTTGAAGAACTAGTAAGAGTGATTTTGTCAGACAGCATAGGCAGCAGTTCTATAGAGATGAAATTGTGACTTGGAATGAAGTAATACATTCATTAAATGTAATATACACCTGAAATATTTTATTAAAGTTATGTAAATAAATTATGGTTAAGTGATTAGCAGTAATGGGCAGTCACTACCATCATGGGACTTTTTGTTTTATTTGGTCACAACATTCATCCCACAAAATGCATAGTGCATGTTTAGAAATAACTATCGAAATTGAAAACGCGATAATTTCTAATAACCGAACCGACTTCAAAAAAACACTAATCGCTCAGAACTACCACATAGTGACCTCTGACATCACCTACTAAGGAAATGACCTTGATAACAGCCTTTTTCGGCAGTTAACGGTGCAATATGCAGAAATCACTTCGCCATTTCCTGGTTGCTAAAATTTGAATAGTTCACTTTATATCAGTTTGTGACAAAACAAGCAGTCATTGAGTACGTTTAAATGCACACTAATAATTCGCTATGTTTGCGCACAAGTATAATTAATTGGGTGATCCCTTCGGATGACCCTGGATGGAATCATGTGATCCTTCCTTCACCCATAGGCAGTCCCACCCAGTTGACTACTTTAAAATGGTGGAAGCCCTCAATGGCAATGTCCATACCAAAATGGGTTTTATCCGTCTAGAGTCCTATTTAACTCTATGGTGGTAAATTCCCACTTGGTTAAGAACGAAGCATGGGACGTCGAAGAACACTGCAGTCAGCAGGCACACGTGATGGGGCGATTGCAGTGCCTTTCCGGGGAAACTCTGCATGTCGCAAAAAAGCGTGAAGTGTACTGTTGGCTTTTTTTTTTTTTGCGTGGGGCCCATTGGTTCTCAAACTGATACAACTGCCATAGAAATAGAATTCAGTATTTCTATGGCCCGCCCCCAGCTCTTGATTTTTAGTTTTCTTCCCATGAAAATTATATTGGGCCATGGCTAGGCTAATGGTAACTGACTGCTTAATTTTGTGTTTCATGTGGAATCAGGTAGCTGATCAGAATTCTCTGGGTTGGGCCGAGGCTCATACGTCTCTTTTGTTTGTCTCTGGGTGTGATAGTGAGTGATGCAACCAGAGGGACTGGTTGTTTCTTGCCTTTGATTGAAAATTGCACATCCCACCAGCTGTCTAAAGACTCCTGTCTTGTCTGTTGACCTTGTGTTGACAACAACAATGCAGGCAGCCGCACATTGACTGTGATGAGCTCACCGGCGATGCCATCTCGATTTAAACTCTAACTAGGCCTAGACCCCCCTGATTAACACATTGCAGAAAAAGTGACTTGAAACAGATGGTGATTAAATGGATGAAGCTGTAAAAAAACTGAACTGCAGACAGCGAGGCTATCAAAAGCCTGAGAAATTTCAATGTGGCTCAAAATAAACCCACTCTGACCCTGATGTACAGGGTGAGCGAGTTCAAATCAGTTGAACCTGAATGATGTGGAAGTGATTTAGAATGGCGGCAAGTAGCTCAAGGCTGCAGCGATGCCGTGACAGCCCAGCAAGATTAAAATGCTGGAATAGCATATTGCTTCTTCAGTTGAGGGTTCAGTATCTTCTATCGGTAATCTGTGTACTGTTGTCTGATGCGTAAACAGCTTTGTCTCACTAACAATTGGTTATGTTATTAAGACATTTTGTCAAATGATAGGCTAATAACTGTAATAGAATCACATTAGAAGGGACTCAACTAGCCATAGGTCATTAAACACATGACCCCCCCCGGATGAACACGGATGAAATTCTGCCTGACTGTTTGTAGCCCACACGTCCCACTCTCTAATGAGCGTCTCTGTTTGCTTCTCCAGGACAATTCACCCAGCAGAGATGGCACAGGAGACCAATCAGAGCCAAGCGCCCATGCTTTGTGCTACCGGCTGTGGTTTCTTTGGAAACCCCAGGACCAGTGGCATGTGCTCTGTCTGCTATAAGGACCACCTAACCAGACAGAACAATGGAGGAGTGAGCCCCCTGAGTGCAATGGGTAAGATCTGCCATTCCTCCATAAAATGTTATTTGTTTTTGTTCATTTTTATCTGTTTGAGAAGTAGATGCCTTACGACTCAGGTTTGCGGTCATTACTTTTTCTCCTAGTAAATCTGATCATGTATTGTCTCATTTAGGTGGCAGTGTGTCCAGTAGCCCCACAATGGAGGCCTCTGCCATCCAAAGAATTGAGGCCACCTTGAATAGTGCTGCCGCGGCTGCTGCTGAAGCTGATGCCGACGCTGCCAGGTGAGTGTCTGTTGCTACTTAGAAATGACCATGGAGACAATTCTTTAAGACCAATCCACACCAAATGACTGTCACTTTTCTCGCACCACGTTTGTTAGATCATTACATCTGAATGAGATGGCTAGTATGAAGTGGCCGATTTGGAGTACAGATTTGTAGCTCTTCTCATTCTCTTTCTCTCACTGTAGTGGGGCAGCAGCAGCTCTTCCTGTTACACAACAGATGACCGAGATGAGCATTTCCTGTGAGGAGAAAGGAGCTTCGCCTAAAGCAGAGCTTGCAGAACCTGGTGTGTGTCTGACTCAAATGGGTGTTCAGTGCCTCATGGTGGGGGGGGGGGTCACCTGTGAGTGGTTACAGGCCTGTGATGGGAGGTGGTTGTGAATAGTCTCTTGTCCTGTTTTTATTTTTTATTATTTTTGAGGTCTTATTTTGCTTTCCCCTATTTTTCCAGTGGTCACTCAGCCCATCGCCTCAGCTTCCCCTCCCAGTGCTGCCGGCAGTAACGAATCCAAATCACCCGAACCCCCCAAACCGAAGAAGAACAGGTGCTTCATGTGCCGCAAGAAGGTTGGCCTTACAGGTGAGGACAAACGTTCCAGTACTGCTCAACACATTACTGCTTATTCAGTCAGTTACACCTCAAGAAGGCTGTGCCTTTATGATTTGAGTTTGATACACGGTGCAGAGTTGATATGAGCCAGGTCTATTAGTGTGACTCACTGTACCTTTTTTTTATCTGCCAGGTTTTGACTGCCGCTGTGGGAACTTGTTCTGTGGACTCCACCGTTACTCAGACAAGCACAACTGCCCATACGACTACAAAGCAGAGGCCGCCGCCAAGATCCGCAAGGAGAACCCTGTGGTGGTGGCCGACAAGATCCAGAGAATATAAGACATTTTCTCACTTTGACCTTGAGAACACTGAGTGATTGGAGAGAGAAAAAAGGACTTGCTCTTGACCTGCGTTCTAATGGACTAGTTTTTTAAATTACAGTATGGGGGGGATCCAGTTTTCTGCAATGCATGAACGATCACATTTTTCTTTTGTTTTCCGTCGGTGTCTGTGCTTACGATTTTTTTTTAAATGAGAAGGAACAAAAATGTCTAAAAAAAATACTGCAGACTAGGACATATGCTTTTCCAGGGATGCCTGGACCTGGCTTAATTCTTACTGTTTATGGGGGAGTCTGATTTGTTGTCAAGTAGGCGATCTGATGTGTTAACTACTTTTATGACTGTCTTATGTATTGCTGAGATTTTTCTGAGAAGAGGGGGGGACACTGTTACAGCCCCGACCGGATCACTCCCGCAGTGGCAGGTCACAGCTGGCTTATGTTGCAAATGGCTGTTCTTGCTCATCTGTGGGGGGGGGGGGGGGGTTTGTTTGACCTTTCCCAACTTATCTCATAACGTGTCATGGTGTCCTCATGGAGTCTGTTTTATATGTACTACCAGACATGTTTGTTTCTGTGCTGCATGGGGCCTCAGTTCAGGGGAGGACCTCCAAGCACATTTCTCTATTGTGAGATAAGATGTGAAGTAGTGACTTTAAAATAAAAAATCTTGATTTTTTAGTCTACTAAAGAACATCTTCGAGAAGCTTATGAAATTAAGTGGTCATCCAGTAGGAAGGGTGAAAGCAGCCAGACACTTGGAGGATGGATGGATGTGTTCTATTCCAACCTTATTGACTCATCAGAAATGCATCTTAAACAAACCGAATATTAGGGTGTCATACAAGCCTGCTCCACTGGTTCATTCTTCCGGCAATGTGTGCTGCACTAAAAAACATTGCTTAGGTTTACTTGTATCCGTTAAAGATTATTTCCTAAAGAAGTATTTAGGTCTGATGCTGTGATGTTCATTTGAAGGGGGAACTTGGTGCTGCCTCTGTATGGCTGGAAGGGAAATTGGCGGAAGACCGTTCACTTCCTGCATTGAGATCAAGGTCATTTGACCTCCCTCATCCAGCCACTCAGGTCATGTGACAGTGTTGATGCCCATTCTGTGCTCTTTTTTTTTTCTTTTTTCTCGTATCCATGTTTTCATGAGGATATGGGGTGTTTTGCATGGGTTGTTGTATCAATGACAAATAGCCTAAATGAACCAGATTGCTGAAGTTGTAAGGGTTAGGCCCACTAATCTTTTGATCAATGTTTCACTTCTGCGTTTTATGTTAGTTGTTTTTATTTTTAATATGTGTGCTGATATATTTTTGATATATTGTGGAGTGCGTGTCACATGCTATGTATTAAACACAAGTGTCTGATGTATGCCATTTCCAGTAGACTTGGATGGATGGTGGATGAGTATTGTGTATGTTTGTATGTATGCAAGTAAGTGCTTGTGTTCCTCAGTCAGAACTAATCCAGTGGACTCACTCTTGTTGATCTAGATTCTTTTAGTTTTTCTGTTTTGTTTGGTCTGGCTGCTCAGTGCTATTCGCTCTGTAGGGCTGTGAGATTTAACTTTAATATCTGTATGTTTTAACCATTTTAGTTATGCAAGTTTGTACAAACCATCTTTATATTTATGTACCGCGCATATAATCTTGTTACTCAACATTACTGCAAAATTGTATCATGTAAATAAAATTGTACAGAGATATAGAATTATGTAATCGGTGACAATTTTATTTAACATTGTAACCTGTTTTCACGTTGAGGCTTTTAACATGTCGCAACAGTGAAGGTGATGCATTTCCCTATGTCTCTGAGACGCCAATGTCTTTGCTAGTATCAGTACATCATTGCATTGGCTTGCTACGCTGCCCATGGTATTTTACTATGCAGAGGGGCAAAACCTGAATGATTGTCATATTTTCTCCATCAGTGCTATGACAACTGTGGAGGTGCTGCTTTTTTAAGTCTATTTGCATTTATTAAGGATCCCCATTTGCTTCCTGTGGTCAAAACAAGATTAAGGCAATTACGTCACAAAAAAAACCCAGTACATTATACAACCTGTTATAACACTTCTACCAGTACAGCAATATTACAGTGTGTGTGTGTGTGTGTGTGTCTCGTCACAGTCCGCGTTGTTCCATAAGGTGTAGTTTTATCTTTATTTAAAAAAAAAATCAGATTCTACTGCTCGCTTGAGTTACTTGATGTAGAATAGAGTTCCGTGTAGTTATGGCTCTGTAGTACTGTGCGTTTTCCCAGAGTCTGTTCTGGACTTGGGGACTGTGAAGAGACCCCTGCTGGCATGTCTAGAGGGGTATGCATAGGTGTCTGACCTGTGTGCTAGTCGTTTGAACGGACAGCGTGGTGCTTTCTTTTCAATACCTCTCACAAAGACAAGTAGTGATACTGTCAACCTCTCCTCTACTTTGAGCCAGGAGACTACATTTCTTGTAGTTGGCTACCAGGTTTGCACACATCTCAGGAGGGATTTTGTCCCACTCCTCTTTGCAGATCTTCTCCAAGTCATTAAGGTTTCGAGGCTGACGTTTGGCAACTCGAACCTTCAGCTCCCTCCACAGATTTTCTATGGGATTAAGGTCTGGATAGGCCACTCCAGGACCTTAATGTGCTTCTTCTTGAGCGACTCCTTTGTTGCCTTGGCCGTGTGTTTTGGGTCATTGTCATGCTGGAATACGCATCCACGACCCATCTTCAATGCCCTGGATGAGGGAAGGAGGTTCTCACCCAAGATTTGACGGTACATGGCGCCGTCCATCGTCCCTTTGGTGCGGTGAAGTTGTCCTGTCCCCTTAGCAGAAAAACACCCCCAAAGCATAATGTTTCCACCTCCATCTTTGACGGTGGGGATGGTGTTCTTAGGGCCATAGGCAGCATTTCTCCTCCTCCAAACACGGCGAGTTGAGTTGATGCCAAATAGCTCGGTTTTGGTCTCATCTGACCACAACACTTTCACCCAGTTCTCCTCTGAATCATTCAGATGTTCATTGGCAAACTTCAGACGGGCCTATATACAGTGGGGAGAACAAGTATTTGATACACTGCCGATTTTGCAGGTTTTCCTACTTACAAAGCATGTAGAGGTCTGTAATTTTTATCATAGGTACACTTCAACTGTGAGAGACAGAATCTAAAACAAAAATCCAGAAAATCACATTGTATGATTTTTAAGTAATTAATTTGCATTTTATTGCATGACATAAGTATTTGATCACCTACCAACCAGTAAGAATTCCAGCTCTCACAGACATGTTAGTTTTTCTTTAAGAAGCCCTCCTGTTCTCCACTCATTACCTGTATTAACTGCACCTGTTTGAACTCGTTACCTGTATAAAAGTCACCTGTCCACACACTCAATCAAACAGACTCCAACCTCTCCACAATGGCCAAGACCAGAGAGCTGTGTAAGGACATCAGGGATAAAATTGTAGACCTGCACAAGGCTGGGATGGGCTACAGGACAATAGGCAAGCAGCTTGGTGAGAAGGCAACAAATGTTGACGCAATTATTAGAAAATGGAAGAAGTTCAAGATGACGGTCAATCACCCTCTGTCTGGGGCTCCATGACAGTTGTTGTTTAGTCAATCAATCAATCACCTTTATTTATAAAGCCCTTTTTACATCAGCGGATGTCAAAGTGCTGTACAGAAACCCAGCCTAAAACCCCAAACAGCAAGCAATGCAGATGTGGAAGCATGGTGGCTAGGAAAAACTCCCTAGAAAGGCAGAAACCTAGAGAGGAACCAGGCTCTGAGGGGTGGCCAGTCCCCTTCTGGCTGTGCCGGGTGGAGATTATAACAGTACATGGCCATTAAGGCCAGATTTTTCTCCAAGATGTTCAAATGTTCATAGATGACGAGCAGGGTAAAATAATAATCACAGTGGTTGCAACAGGTCAGTACATCAGGAGTAAATGTCATTTGGCTTTTCATAGCCGGGCATTTAGAGGTTGAAATAGCAGGTGCGGTAGAGAGAGTTGAAAACAGCAGGTCTGGGACAAGGTAGCACGTCCGGTCGGGTTTCCATAGTGGTTCCATAGTGGTGGAAACTGGTGCAGCAGCACGACCAGGTGGACTGGGGACAGCAAGGATTCATCAGGCCAGGTAGTCCTGAGGCATGGTCCTAGGGCTCAGGTCCTCCGGGAGGGGAGGGAGAGAGAGAGAATTAGAGGGAGCATACTTAAATTCACACAGGACACCAGATAAGACAGGAGAATAACACCAGATATAACAGACTGACCCTAGCCCCCCGGCACATAGACTATTGCAGCATAGATACTGGAGGCTGAGACAGGGGGGTCGGGAGACACTGTGGCCCCGTCCGACGATACCCCCAGACAGGGCCAACCTGGCAGGATATAACCCCACCCACTATGCCAAAGCACAGCCCCCACACCACCAGAGGGATATCAACAGAACACCAACCTACTACCCTGAGACAAGGCTGAGTATAGCCCACGAAGATCTCGAGCCCGATGGGGCGACAAACCGAACAGGAAGATCACGTCAGTGACTCAACCCACTCAAGTGACGCACCCCTCCTAAGGACGGCATGGAAAGCACCAGTAAGCCAGTGACTCAGCCCCCGTAATAGGGTCAGAGGCAGAGAATCCCAATGGAGAGACAGGAACCGGCCAGGCAGAGACAGCAAGGGTGGTTTGTCGCTCCAGTGCCTTTCCGTTCACCTTCGCACCCCTGGGCCAGACTACACTCAATCATAGGACCTATTGAAGAGATGAGTCTTCAGTAAAGACTTAAAGGTCGAGACCGAGTCTGCGTCTCTCACATGGATAGGCAGACCATTCCATAAAAATTTAGCTCTAGAGGAGAAAGCCCTGCCTCCAGCTGTTGGCTTAGAAATTCTAGGGACAATAAGGAGGCCTGCGTCTTGTGACTGTACCGTACGCATAGGAATGTACGGCAGGACCAAATCGGAGAGATAGGTAGGAGCAAGCCCATGTAATGC